GATTTTAACATGATTCTAACAATGAAAGGATGCTCAATCGACTGTGCTCTGTTACCCTAAGTTTCGTGGCGGGTATACTAGATTTTGCCACTCTATTCGTGATTTCACCCTACACTGATTCGACGAAAACGACCCATAATAAGCCAGGACCATTTAAGTAATGGCATCTTTGGACACCCCTCGGCTTGGCTAGTCTCAGAGATTACATTCAATCCGAATTCGTGCACAATACTTATGCATACGCTCAAATACTTCGCAATTTTCCTTGTGCTCACCCCCTTATGCAAAATGGTGGGTCCAGGAAGAGTGCGAGAAGCTCTCTGCAAAGGTCTGCACTAACCTCGTAGATAACATGCCTAAGAGAGTGCAGGTGGTGATCAACGCCAAAAGTAGGTGGACTAGTTACTAGAAACGCTGTTCGGAAGTTTGCTCTTTGTCCTGGGAAAAAACTGTCCGGATGTACTCGTTGTATATCTTTTGGAGTATGAGTTAGATCCAATGTACTTTTCTAGTTCTTAGTGATGTGAACGCATCCACTTTGTGCCTCTCCCAACGTGTACCACCGTGCATCTTGCAGGTTTACCATACAGTAGTCTCAAAGCCTAAAAACCCAACTTAGTGCCAAACATCCGGACGGTTTTTTCTCTCAGTGTACTACAACAGGTTCGTGCCACAATATGCGAAACTCGCAGCACCACTCACGAATCTGCTGAAGAAGAACACGCCCTACAAATGGGAGACGAAGCACCAGGAAGCCGTGGAGCAGCTGAAACAAGCACTAACGTCCGCACCGGTGCTCATCTTGCCAGATCCCGAACGCGACTACGTAATCGAAGCTGACGCCAGTGATCAGGCCGTGGGTGCAGTCTTGATGCAAGACCAGGGGAATGGACTGCAACCAATTGCCTACCTCAGCAAGAAACTGCACGGGGCAGAACTCAACTACCCGATACACGACAAAGAGGCTCTTGCTATCATCATCGCCTTCAAAGCGTGGAGATGCTATCTCGAAGGACGAAGAACGACCGTCTACACCGACCACTGCAGCCTGAAATATTTGAAGACACAACCCAACCTTTCCAGGCGGCAGGTCCGGTGGATCGACTTCCTCGAGACACACTTCCACTACGACATCGTGTACAAGCCCGGCCACAAGAACAAAGCAGACGCTCTCAGCCGGCCTGCACACGTTGCCGCGATTCAGGTCGAAGGGATGAATCCACTACTCAAGGGACTCTTCACACACGGGTACGCCATCGACCCCGAAATTTCCTTGGCAGAAAAGCGACATCTGCTACAGTGGGACAGTGACATCGCGTACCGGAAAGGATCCACAAAAATCTGGGTACCCAATTACCCTCCTTTGCGCCAGTTACTACTCGAAGAATACCACGACGTCCTGTACGCCGGACACTTCGGTAGTAACAAGACGCTCACCGGTATCGCCAAACACTACTACTGGCCCCATATGGCAGACGACGTCCAGAAATTCGTCACCTCGTGTGCTACATGTCAGCGGATGAAGAGCAGCAAGCAGAAAAAGGCGGGACTACTGCAGCCTCTTCCTGTCCCAGAACAACCATGGCAAGTGGTTAGCCTGGACTTTATCACCGGGTTACCACCTACCTCCAGCGGTCATGACGCCATCCTTGTCGTCATTGACAAGTTCTCCAAAATGGGACACTTCATCCCGACACACACGACGGCACGCACCGAGGAGACAGCACAGCTCTTCGTTCGTCACATCATCTCACAGCATGGCATCCCAACTACACTCATCTCCGACCGAGACCCCAAGTTCACCAGCAAGTTCTGGAAGGAACTTATGTCTCTGCTCGGCACCAAACTCGCCATGTCATCCGCATACCATCCGCAGACAGACGGACAGACCGAGCGCCTCAACCAAATTGTTGAGCAACTCCTCCGAGCAGCCTGCAAGGACGACATCTCCAAATGGGACTTGCACCTGCCCGTACTCGAGTTTGCTTACAACAATGCTACACATGCCGCTACTGGACAGACGCCGTTCTTCCTCTGCTACGGACGCCACCCACTCACACCACAAAACCCGACAGCATCAGCTACAGTCCAACCCGCACATGATTTCATTACAACCATGCACCAGCTTTGGGATCGGACCCACAAGCGCCTACTCGACATTCAACAGCAACAGAAGCGCCAAGCCGATCGCCATCGCAACGACCACACCATTTCCGTGGGAGACCAGGTTCTTCTTGACACCCGCAACCTGGACATCAGCCATCTCCCATCTAAACTTCGACCTCGCTTCTGCGGGCCTTTCCTCGTTGAAGCACAAGTCACCCCTGTTACCTTCCGCTTACGCCTACCAGCTACCTGGAAGATTCACAACGCCTTCCATGTCCAACTTCTGAAGCCCTATCGGGACCCGAACACAATTTTCGTCGGACGCCAACCGCCGCCGCCACCGCCCGTCCTCGTCCAGAATGAACCCGAGTACGAGGTCGAGTCCGTGCTCGCACACCGCCGTCGTCGGAATGGCACCGTGGAGCTTCTCATCCGTTGGAAGGGTTATGATCCTTCTGAGGACAGCTGGGTACCTGAGTCCGACATGGGTAACGCCCGTCGTCCTCTGCATGACTACCTTGTCAAGCAGGGTGTTACTTCTACCACCCAGCTTTGAGGGGGGGAGGTGTGAGAGTACGACCCCGTTACACCACTTGGCCTTTTCTTATTTCCTTCCCTTTTCATTTCTCGTTTTACCGCATCTCATTTGGTTTCCTATTCTTCCTTTTCCATTAACCTTTGGTTTATCCTGCTATTATCATTATATCACCGACCAGGCTTGGGATGTATTGGTGTGCTCTATCTAGCGTAATCCTGCCGTAATCCCTTAAAGCCAATAGCCTCGCGTGGCTATACGCAGGGTGATTCTATCTTCTAGAAGGGTTTATTCCCTTAGGATAAGATAAACCTGGTTACCTGATGTACTCTGGAAGTATAAAAGCGCCTTGTACTGATCGATAGTGCAACTTTTCCTCGACACATTCGATCCTGTGACATCTCTCTTCCTAATCAAACGTCCTTTCTTCTCGACATTCTCTCCCTTCCTAGATCCGTTTTTCCTCACGCCATTCCATGGCGGCCTTCTTCCTAGTATTTTAGCCAACCTAGCCTCCTAAGTTTAAGAACCTTGAGTCCTAAGTTTCTAAGATGGTATCAGAGCCGGTCGTGTCCACCGGACCCTCTCCCTACGTTCCCGTTGCGTACTCCTACTGCATTCGCAGCCTTCGCGGTTTTCTGCCTGCCTGCCGTCGCGGCACTAAGTTGTCGCGACGACCCCTTGTTGCCTGCCGTCGCAGCGCCAGGATGTCGCGACGGCCCCTTGTTGCCTGCCGTCGCGGCACCAAGATGTCGCGACGGTCCCTCGTTGCCTAACGTCGCGGCGCCAAGGTGTCGCGACGGCCCGTTGGTGCAGCCGTCGCCCGTCCGCCTCGCCGCTGCGACATTGACGGTGCGCTGTGGCGGCGTCTGCGGCAGCCGACGGCATCGTCGGGCTGCGGCCGGCCGAGCGACGTCTGTGGCGTCGCCGGGCCTGCCGCCCGCTCGCCACAGACGGGCGTCCCTCAGGACGACGTCCTCCCGCCAGTAAGCGCCGCGCCATTTATGGCGCGTCGCTGAAGACTCTGCCTCGCCCCGCCCCCTCCCCTCCCCCCCCCACCTGCACCTGCTTCCCCTGCATCCCCCCCTTTCTTGCTGCAGCCGATGACTGCCATGTGAGGGACCTCTCCACCGCCGAGGAGACAGGACATGCCGCCGAGAGGGGGGGGGCCGCCGCACCAGCCTCTGTCGTTCGAGCCCCCGGCGCTGCCGCTGTTGCCGCAGGCCTGGAGCCGCCGCACACCGCCGCCGCCGCCGCTGTCGTCACTGTCGCTGCTGCCGTCATTGCCGTCTCAAGGGGCCGTGAGACCTACCCTCTTCCGGAGTCGTTTCGGCTCCTGCTGGGAATGGGGGTGCTGGGCTAGGGGGTGTGGGTGTGAGTGTGGGTGTGGGGGTGTGCGTGGGCTTGACACTACCAAGCCTAGGGGGTGTGTTAAAATTATATAAGTTATAATTTAATATAGGCTTGGTAGGTTGTTACTGAACCTTTCTGTAGAGGGTACAAACCCCTTCTTGTACTCCTCTCTCTTCCTAATCAAACGTCCTTTCTTCTCGACATTCTCTCCCTTCCTAGATCCGTTTTTCCTCACGCCATTCCATGGCGGCCTTCTTCCTAGTATTCTAGCCAACCTAGCCTCCTAAGTTTAAGAACCTTGAGTCCTAAGTTTCTAAGACTGTGTTCGCGCGAGCCAGAATGGCAGGGAAGAAGCCATTGCCACTGAGTACAGATTAAAAAGCAAAAGCTTTGGATCTTGGTGTGGCGGGTGGAAAGGCTTTGCATGTTCCGTCGCTGGGTTGGGGCGGGCATCGCATAGCACGTCACTTCCCCCCTGGATCTCAAATACGCACCTCACGGGTGGGTATTTGGTTACCGTGTTTCTGTCGCGCCCTTTTTCGTATGTAGTACAACTCAAAACCTTTGAGTCTTGAGTTTGGTCTGTCCGCTCACTTTAAAGTAAAGCTTACAATAGTTAATTTGTTTCTTAATAATATGTTGACTTTATGCATCATTAGTATTTAACCAATTAGTAGTTGGTGCGTGTTCTACGGGTTTTGGCCACAACGTCTATGTCAGTACGGCTTTCGCTATTGTCCATATAACGGTGGGATCTCGGTGACTCCACCGTGACCTACGCGCCCACAACGAAGGAGCCCTGTCAGCGCATGAACGGTGCAACAAACCAGATTCGCGCGGGGGAAACCCAGTCGTTGCGCGTCAGACGACCTCCACCGTGCGAAAAGGTTTGTCCAACCCGATGCGACAGATGACGAAGTCTGGCAGGAGGCGTGCGACGTGCCTTTGCCGGGGAAAGTCTCTCCTAGAGAACGCCGTGCGAAAACAGGTTGGTAGAAAAAAGGTGTTCAACCCACATCGAGCCATTCGGCTTCCAGAACCAAAAAGGCCACCAATAGCTCTTTCTCATCAGTTGGTCTGTCGTTAGGCATCAGATTGCTCCAGCTCTTCTGCTTATTTTGACAGTCTAGTTCTCGTGTTTCCTAAGAGCAGTTCACCATGGGTTTGACAATCGGGAAGCTCTTCACGAGATTCTTTGGGAAAAGGGACATGCGTATTCTTATGGTTGGTCTAGATGCCGCTGGTAAAACGACCATTCTGTACAAGCTGAAGCTGGGAGAGATCGTGACCACGATTCCGACCATCGGTATGAATCTCGTCCTTCGTCGATCTGCACTGCCAGGCTCTCTTCAAACGTCGATGAGTTTTAAAGCGACCCTCTTTGCATTCCGATTCAGGATTCAACGTCGAAACTGTGGAGTACAAGAACATTAGCTTCACCGTGTGGGATGTCGGGGGTCAGGACAAGGTAAGAAAAGTATACTGTAATTTAGTTACCATCTTTTATGCTGTGTCGTAACTTCACTAATTTCTGCGAGTCTCCTGGTACAGATCCGTCCCCTGTGGAGGCATTACTTCCAGAATACACAAGGTTTGATCTTCGTCGTCGACAGCAACGATAGGGATCGTGTGATGGAAGCCAGAGATGAATTGCACAGAATGCTCAACGAGGTGAGCAATCATCCTGTCAATTATTCGGGATGCTGCGACATTGTTAGGTATTTTGGGGCTGTGCTTCTTACACGTCCCCGCTTCTTATTGCAGGACGAATTGCGAGATGCAGTGCTGCTTGTGTTTGCTAACAAGCAGGATCTTCCAAACGCGATGAACGCTGCAGAGATTACCGATAAGCTTGGTCTTCATTCGTTGCGCCAGCGTCAGTGGTAAGTGAATAATGAAGAAGCATGCTAAATGAACACGTAGTCTTGGCTACAAATTTCATTTGCAGATCCACGGAGCGGAAGTTCTATCGTGAAGTTGACATCCCCGATTTCTTTCATTTCAGGTATATCCAGAGTACTTGCGCTACCTCAGGAGAAGGTCTTTATGAGGGTCTCGACTGGCTGTCCAACAACATCTCCTCTAAGGTATGTCCCCTTGCTGCATCCATGTTTGACGGTTTGACATCCTGAGACATAACAATGGGCATCGTTTTTGTCTGCAGGACTAAGCATTGAGAGCCATAACATGGCTTGCGAGGAAGGACATCACTATCTAAGCACCCTGGACAAGTTTTCAGCGCTAAACCAAGAAAAAGCCACAAGATGCTACTCCAAGTCTTCTCTCAGTGCCAATTTATCTTTTGTATCCCCTTCTTTCTAGCAACATTGTGAAATTCTTTTTAGTTGATTATGCACATCGACAGTCTGCTATGTTGTCTCACTGTTAGCAATTAGGCTGAATTATGCAATACAACATGTATGTCCCGAATGGAAAATCTAGTTGCAAGCAAATGCAAGCAAATTTGTTAATGGGGTAGGTAAAATTCCTGTACCTAAAAATGGGTCCTGTACTTGATGTGGTTACAAGCCAATGCCCCACTGCTTTGTGTACTTGAGTACTCTACCAGTTTAGTCCCATCAGCAAGTGCTGGAGGTGGAAATGCAATATCGCACTTGATTTCTTCTGTGCCTTGTTACCTGACTTGGTGCAGCCCCTATTTCGCCGTCAGCCGTCGCAGCGCATTCTCTTCGTTTCCTTTTGTCGCTCAGTACGTCCACATTTTTGTAGAATCCGTGTTCTGTTTGACAGAAAGGCTTTAGAGTTCGGGTTTCGCGTTTCAGCGAACGAAACGGTGTCCGTAAGATATTTGCGCTGTTCTTTGAGATCTTGGCGGGATAACTCACAGCGAGCTCTACTCCACGGGATCCCGTTGTCCGTGAATAGATTCAACACCGTGAGAACGTGTGCTGCTGAGGGCCGTTTGGAGCACGTGCCGTTTGAGTAGCGATGCTCTGAAGAAAGGCGCCAATCGAGGCACTTACTGACGCAGGTTGCTCTGAAGAACTAGCGGAGCGATCGCCAAGTCTGCTTCAGCCAATCAACGGCTTCCGCCTGCTCTTACGTCGACCCAAAGCGATCGCGAAGGCTACTTCCACCGCCATTTGCCGGCTTGAACCGTTTCGGATCCCGGAGGTTGTCGCTCCCCGCCAGTCATGTTCCGTCATAAGCCAGCGCCGTGTTGTGGCCGGCGCTATGCTCTGTGGTCGCTATGCGCGGCTGTGCTTATAGCGGGGGCTGCACTGAGAGTGGATGCGAGGGCTGATGCTGTTATGGTGGGCTGCAGCGGGTTTGTGAAGGTGAGCGAAATGCTGTTGTCGCACATCCCATGGTGCAGTGTTGCATGCCATCGTGTTACTTCACATGCCATTGTGTCCGATGCCATTGTGTCACATGCCGTTGTGTCACATGCTATTGTGCCATAAAACATGCACTGAAGTTCGACGCGAGGGCTGAGGCTCTCATGGTGGGCTGCAGCGGATTTGTCAAGGTAAGGCGAATGCGATGGTGTGTGAAACATGCCATGTCGTCGTCACCAAGTTTCAGGACTAATGATGGCGCTGCTATGATGACCGCGTTCTGGAACCTTGCCAGGCTCTTATCAGGTCCTTATCAGGTTATTATCAGGCTCTTGTTGGGTTCTTATCAGGTTCTTATCACGTTAAAAAACCACTAGGGACCAAAAGACATGCGATAAATTTCAAAGAACTCTAGAAAACCGTTCACGAGGCCAAGAACTGAGCTGTGGATAGACATGCAGTGGCTCTCGGAATGCAAGCCCACATGCCTTTGTGCCTTCTGGATAATGTTGCTTGCGTGATTGTGCGCGTGTGACTATGGTGCAGCCAAGTGCTCATCTGACATCTCTGCTGGAGCAAGGGAGCAACTCAGAACCCATTGACTACACTCGTGTCATGGTAAGTGTGCATGTGTGCATGCGTGGAAGTGTGGATTGCTAATATTTTGGGACTCTCTGTGTCATGGACCATGGTAGTGATTGCATGTGCATGTGGGGCATGTTGTTGGGCATATTGAGATGTTTACTGTGTCCATACATGTGCTTTTGAGTCGACTAAAAACATGCATGCGTATGTGTTTGTGGCATCTTGATGGATGTTTAGGAAAAAAAGAACTAAAAGAAAACTGAATTGATATGCATTTGTTATTTCTCTGTGGTGTACAGGTGGAGCTACAGTCCCATGACGGTTTCGTCCATGAGAGGACAAAATGTGACGAGGATGGCTACTACTACCTCATGGCCCCTTCTCTGCAGGTAATATCTCCTACTGGCTCTGGTAGGTGATGCCTACCCCAGATGGCCCTCTCTCATAAGTCTAGGGAGACAGGAGATGGGATAATGCTGCCGTGAGTGCAGCTGCAGGCGACGGGATAATACCGTCCCGTCCCGTCCCGTCCCGTCTCCTTACCCGGTCCCGTCTACCTATGCTGCCGTTTGACCCACCCACACCGTCTCCGTCCGCTCCCTCCTTCTGCTCCCTCCTTCTGCTCCCTCCTGCTGCTCCCTCCTTCTGCTCCCTCCAAACCCGCCTTCTGTGTCTCCCGCTCGCTTCCTTCCCTCCTCCATTCCTTCATCCCCTGCTCGCTGCTTGAGCCTCTCCAATGTCCCCATCCTTTTAGGAGCCCTTTTCTCCCCTCTTTCCTTCAATCCTCTTCTCCCTCCCTCTCCCTTCCCCTCCCCCCAACCCCCCCCCACCCCCCCCCCACCCCCCCTTCCGATCTCCTCGTTTTCCTTCAGGATTCTTTTCTTATCACCCTTCGAGGCCCTCCTGGCTGGTCCTTCGACGCAACCAAGGTGATTTCTTTTGCCGCAGTTTCGATGCTTGTCCTTTGAGACGCCATGCGTTTGAGGTGGCCCAATAGCTGGCTCGTTTCCTCAAGCGCGCTTGCGTTTCAGGCGCCCCGAGAGGTGACACTGTTGCCACTTCATTGTTTGCCATGTCTGCACTCCTGCTGCTCATGGGCATGCCATGCCATACCATGCCTATCCCCCCATTCCCTCAATTCCTGCTGTGACTTCTGACCATGCCTTTTCATATTTCGCCTTGTTTTCCCCCACCCTCGCTAATGATTGCGTGCACCCACCTTTCTTCAACTATTGTATGCAGATGGTAGTGGTCGATGCTGCCACCTGCAATGCTGGCAATGACGTGGACTTCCACATCTATGGGTGGGTTTGCGGCTGCTGTTTCATGTGAGCAGTCTATCTTTTCACGTGAGCAAGCTTTTGAGCCGACTCAAAATGCATTGCATGGCTGTGCTATTATGTGGCAGGTTCGGCCTCTCAGGCCGCATACTCAGCCACTCGCCATCAGCAACAGAATCGGGATCAGGCTCAGCACAGGGAGCAGTGAAATCACCCGAAGCACCCCTGATAGGGCCTGCTGGTATCCTCGTGACCATACGGTCAGTCAGCAATAACATAGAGAGCAGCAGGAGCGGCAGTGGCAGTGCAGAGGAGGAGGGAGTGTCGCAGCAGCAGCAGCAGCAGCAAGAGCAGCAGTTGAGTGCGACGGCTGTTACAGACGCCAGTGGGGCTTTCACCTTCACTGGCCTCCCTGTGGGTGAGTGCGTGCATGCTGGGACATGGGGTGTGCTGTCAATGCAGGGAGGACGGGGTGTGTGTTGAGTGCGGGGAGGAAGGGTAGTGTTTCCACAGCTGCAAGAGCAGCAGTTGAGTGCGACGGCAGCAGACGCCAGTGGGGCTTTCAAATTCATCGGCCTCCCTGTGGGTGAGTGCATGCTGGAGGGTGGGGCTCGTTTGAGAGCAGGGAGAGGGGTGGGGCTCGTTTGAGAGTAGGGAGAGGGGTGGGGCTTGTTTGAGAGCAGGGAGAGGGGTGGGGCTCTTTTGAGAGCAGGGAGAGGGGTGGGGCTCGTTTGAGAGCAGGGAGAGGGGTGGGGCCCGTTCGAGAGCAGGGTGAAGGGTGGGGCCCGTTTGGGAGCAGGCAGAAGGGGTTGGGCCTCTGCAGCAGCACTCACAACAGCCAGGGACCACAGCAAAGGCTGTGTGAGTGCTGCTGCAGAGGGAGGCCGTCTGTGGTCTCTCTAGTTTTCTCAGTGTGTTATCTTGTTTGTGTCTCCTCGATGTGTGTTTCGCTATTTCCCCTGCCGCTCTGTGTCTCTTATCCCTGCGTGCTACAGGAGCGTATGAGCTGTCTGCCACCCACCCACTCTGGTCAATCCGCCCCGTTACAAGCACACTCGACACAAGCACAAGCATCCCTGTCGAGGCTGGGTGGGACAGCACGGACCTTGGAGCAGCGTTTTACGTGGGGAGCTATGATGCTTCGGATGCTCAGGTACGGTTGGCCCACAGATACTCACACGCTCAGGTAGGGCTTCACAGCATGGCCACCTCAACATGCGTGGAGTGGGGGATGGGTGGGACAGCAAGAACGTAGGAGCAGTGCGCCATGTGGCCAGTTGTGTGGGATGGCACGGACCTTAGAGCAGTGCTCCATGTGCCCAGCTATGCTGCTTCAGATGCTCAGGTAGCAGGGCTTCACAGCATGGCCACCTCAACATGCGTGGAGTGGGGGATGGGTGGGACAGCGAGGACCTAGGCCCGAGGGGCAGTGTTCCATGTGGTCAGTTACGCGCTCAAGCTGCAAAGGTACGCTCATGCTGTCTTCTTTTTATTTGACCCAAAAATCGCCCTCAAAGCTGCAAAGGTACGCTCATGCTGTCTTTCCTGACGCCTTCTTTCCCCCTCCCTCCCCCCCAAACCCCCCCACTCCTCTCTCTCCGTGGAGTGGAATACGGGACAGGGCCGTGAACTCTATGCACCTCGCGCTCGTCGTTGCAGCCCTCAACCCTCCCTCTCTTTTTCCCGCATCACGAGTCTATGTTTGAGCCGCCTCACAAATGGGCTGTCTATTTTTTTGGCCTCTAAAAAATGGGCCGTGAACTCTATGCACCTCCCGCTTGTCGTTGCAGCCCTCAACTCCCCCTCTCCCTTTCCCTCCCCCTCCCCGACCCACTCTTCCCCCCTCCTCCAGAACCAGCCTGGCGTTGCTGTGGTGGCAGGCAGGGGCAGAGTGGAGGATGGGGCGGGCCGTGGAGTGGAGGGAGCGACAGTGATGGTGGATGGGCTCTCAGTGGCTGTTACTGATGCCAAGGTGAGTTCCATGCTACCAAAGGGTGTTGTGCTGCAGTGAGTGGAAAGGGGGTGGAGGGCGGGGGAAGTTTGAGGAGGCGTGGGCTGGCGGGAGCAACAGTGATGGTGGATGGGCTCTCGGTGGCTATTACTGATGCTATGGTGAGTTCCATGCTACCAAGGGTGTTGTGCTGCAGTGAGTGGAAGGAGGTGTAGGGGGGGGAGAGGAGGGGGGGGGGGAGGGGGCGTGGGGTGGAGGGAGCAACAGTGATGGTGGATGGGCTCTCAGTGGCTGCTCCTGATGCTATGGTGACGAAGGGTACAGTGCGTCCGTGAGTGTGAGTAATGCTACAGTAATTATCACAAGTGCTTCATCGAGTCTTGTAAATGCTTCAGTGAGTGTTACAAAGGGTACAGTGAGTGTTGTTAATGCTTTTGGTGACTGGAGGAAGGAGACTGTAGTCCGTTCACTTCTGAACCCTGCGCTGCACCCTCCACTGCTCACACCACCACCCTTCCAGCCCCCTCCTCTGCCTCACCCCTCTTCGTTCTCCCCAGGGTGCCCACTCCTTCACATTCCCCACCTCCCTCCTCTCCTCCCCACCCCTCCACCAGGGTGCCTACTCCTTCGCACTCCCCACCTCTCTCTCCAACCTGTTTAAGCCGCCTCTTGTTTGCCTTCTTTTTCTCCTCACCTCCCATGCTTGTCTCACCCGTTCCCTCCCCTCCTGAACCCTCTTCCGTCTTCGTCTCTGCAGGGCGCCTATTCCTTCACTCTCCCCACTGCCCTCCTCTCATCTCCACCTCTCCAACATCCCTCCTCTACACCCGCCCCTCCACCTCCTCCTCCCCCCCCCAACCACCACACTCTATCAGCAGTCCGACCCCTCTACTCCTTCTCCTCCCTTCCTAACATCGCCCTCCCTCCTGCTACCACCACCACTGCTGCTGCTGCTGCTGCTGCTGCTGCTAATGCTCCTGCTGCTGCTGGTGGTGCTAGTGCCACAACTGCCGTTGACTTGCCGCCCATCCGAGCCGCCCGGTACGCGCTGTGCGGGCGGGTGGAGATGGGCGGCGACTCGTCCTTTGTGCCGTGGAGACGCATGGAGCTGAGCAGGGCTTCTGAGGCTGGGGGATCTCAGGAATGGAGTGCAGAGACAGAGGACGCAGGGACAGAGGACGCAGGGACCAAGGACGGAACCCTGCTAAGCCGGACTAAGGCAACAGGGGGTGCCAAAAGGTCCAACACTGGCAAAAGCAGCAGCAGCAGCGAGTTCCAGAAAGCAAGGAAGCGTGCTCCTCCAGTGATTGCCGAGGCAGACCAAGACGGACGGTTCTGCTTCATGGTGGGTGGGTTGCTGCAAAGGTGAGTGAGTGTAGAGTGAGCGTGTGAGTGTGGAGTGAGTGTGGAGTGAGTGTCTATGTTGGAAAAAACGCAGATTTGGTTTTGCGTTTTGCCTTTATACGCGAGTAAAATTCGTATGCTGCGTTCTGGGTGGAGATTCGCCGAAAAACGCACAGGCTGACCGCGGGAAAAAAGTTTTCCCACGACAGGTCGCGACTAGGCCAAAAAAAAAGGGGTTTCGCGCATCGCCAATTCAACTGCGCGGAATTGGGGGTTGACGACAAAAGCGGCACATCGCAAACTCGAATTGAGTTTGTGGCTTGAACTCCCAACCCCAAAAGGCTTCCCCACCGCATTCAATCTCTCCATACTTTTCCAACCCAACCGATTGTGGTTTGAACTCCAATCCCAAAAGCTTCCCCACCGCATTCAATCTCACATCACCTCCCTTTCCCAACCTTTCTGCTTTATGACGATTGACGACTCACCAGAGTCCTGACGCAGAGGAGCAGCACCTAACCTAATTCCGCGTTGTAACTCTCTAGCAAAGCTCCCTCCCTTAGTTCTCGTGCGTTGTTGCTCGCCAGGAGAAATGTTGACCCGTTCCTACCACTCCTCCTAGCGCGACAAATTTTCCTGCCCGCAATATTTTTTCCCCTGCCCGAACCTCCGTATTTCGTGCGTACCGCATACCCCCTTTCCAAGCGTATTGCGTATAAACGCTTACGTATATACGCTGGCGTACAAAACGCAATACGCGCATTTTCCAACATAGGTGAGTGTGGAGTGAGTGTGGAGTGAGTGTGGAGTGAGTGTGGAGTGAGTGATGGTATCAAGAATGTGGCCCCGGTGACTGCAGAGCAGAGGCAGACCAAGATGGACGGTTCTGCTTCATGGTGGGTGGGTTGCTGCAAAGGTGAGTGAGTGTAGCTAGCAACCCACCCACCATGAAGGTTGCTTCATGGTGTAGCATGAGCTGGGCTCTTATCACGTGATTCTGCTTCATGGTGTAGCATGAGCTGGGCTCTTATCACGTGATTCTGCTTCATGGTGTAGCATGAGCTGGGCTCTTATCACGTGATTCTGCTTCATGGTGTAGCATTAGCTGGGCTCTTATCACGTGATTCTGCTTCATGAGCCGCTGTAGATTGCAGATTCAGGGAGCACCTCCAAACTCTTGTTTTTTTCTGTGAGCACGTGCGCGTGTGACTCTAAATGTGTGCCACTTGTTTTGTGAGCAAATCTGTAATCACATTCATTCATAAGCACATCTATGGCAACTAGAATTGAGAAGGGTAGACGGTTTCTGGTTACTCATTTGTAGCCGCCTTCGAGCTTCCTCAAGTCTCACCCTCTCACTCAACATCCCACCCTCTCCTATTCTTCCCGTCTTCTCCCAGGTGCCACGTGGCAGCTATCAACTGGTGCCTGAGATCAGCCCAGATGAGGTGGCAGCAGGGCTGGTCTTCTCCCCCTCTATAATGGAATCCGTTACTGTCACATCCTCACCAGTCACAGATATAGTCTTCAAACAGGCAAGTTACTTGCCAACTGACTCAACAGTTCCTCTCTTAGAACTATGTCCATGTCTATGTCTGAAGACATTGTCTGTCTGAAGAAATTGTCTGTGTCTGAAGAAATTGTCTATGTCTGAAGACATTGTCTACATCTGAAGACATTGTCCGGCTACCGCCCTCCCCTTTTAGCTGCCTGCGTTTTGTCTATGTGGTCTGGTAGTGCTTTTGTGATTCTTTTCTTTCCGTAGCTTGTTCACAATACGTTTTACGTGATTTGTGTCCCTTTTTGTTAGGCGCCTCAAAAATATCATGCTTTGTGGTCTGGCAGGGCTTTCGTGATGGTTTTCTTCCCGTAGCTTCTTGTTTTCACTACCTCTTGTGTGAATTATGTCCCTTTTGAGTCGACTCAAAAGCCAGTTTGTTCTTTTCACTACCTTTTACGTGATTTTCGTCCCTTTTTGTTTTCCTTTCTCTCGTCCACAACCCCCCTCCCCCCCCCTCTCATACAGTCACACCTGTTTATATCTGGCAAGGTGCGCTGCCTCCAGCAGTGTGACTCAGCCGTTACAGTCACACTCCTGGCTGTCACAGATACAATGACCGACGGAGAAATGGAGGGAGGTACAGAGCAGCAGCAGCAGCAGCAGGGGCAGCACAGGGGCACGTTCTTACAACGAGTTGTGCTGAGAGTGGGGGGAGAGGGGGGGGCGGAGGGAGAGGCTGGGGGCGTCGGGGGGAAGGGCAAGGGGAGGAAAGGCGAGGTGATGACGAGAGGCACAAGTGGCTCCTTCTTCTTCGATCAGCTGCTCCCTGGGTCGTACAGACTCGAGGTCAGTGTTCCAATCTGCATGCATCTACAGATGGTCTCGTGACTTGAAAGCTGAGCCGGTCCTCACCTGGAGAGGCACAATCGGTTCCTTCTTCTCTGATCGGGTGCTCCATGGGTCGTACAGACTCGAGGTGAGTGCTCCATTGGTTGGAAGGTTGTCTGTAGCAAGATGGTGGTGATTCGAGCACTTGCATCAACGTTCCCTTTTCTGGGAGCAGAGTTCAGCCCAACATGCACATTAGGATCCTTATTCTTTGGCTGGCTGCCCCCTCGGCCATACAGAATCCAGGTGAGTGCTTCTTCATCGCAGGTCTGTCTGCAGCAGGACGAGTGGTGCTGGGAAGAATGGCATCAACATGCTCTGTCTTCTGCCCCCCCACTAGGCATGAGCATTGGCCCGGCCCGGCCCGGCCCGTTTCTGGTCGGGCCGCCGGACCTCGACCCGGGCCAGGCGGCGGGCCGACCTTGGGTACTTCCCGGCCCGTGCCCGGGTTTAGGGGTCGGGCTGGCCTTGGCCCGAGGGGCAAAATACGGGCTGGGGGCGGGCCGCGCCATGCTCATGCCTACCCCCCACCCCCTCCTCCCATTTCTCTCCTCTCCTCCCTCTCCTCTCCGCCCTCTCCTCTCCTCCCTCTCCTCTTCTTCTGGCTTTCTCCAATCACAGCCCCGCAAATCGCACGCCGATGCCTGCGACTGGCAGCAGGACGAGGGGTGATGGGATGGTGCGCATAAAGAGGCTATCATTCTCTTCTCTTCCTCTCCCCCTTGTATCTCTTCCTCTCCCCCTTGTATCTCTTCCTCTCTCCTCTCCCTCTTTTTCTCTCTTACTCTCCCCCTTTTTTTCTCTCCTCTCCCCCTTTTTCTCTCTCCTCTCCCCCTTTCCCTCTTTTCTCTCCTCTCCCCCCCCCCCCGCAACAGGCCCGCAAAACGCCCGTCGATGCCAGCGACCTGCAGCAGGACGAGTGGTGCTGGGAGGAGGGCAGTGCTGACGTGGCAGTGTACGATTCCCCCGTGACGAACGTACAGCTGGTGCAGAGGGGGTGGCGCATGGTGGTGCGGGCATCAATGGAGGACAGATTCACCTTGATTCACAGCAGCTACGACCCCACCGACTTCTCTGTTTCGGTAAGCTGCTGAGGGGTTAATGGTTCAGGGTTCAGGGGTGGCGCGGGCATCGATGGAGGACAGATTCACCTTGATTAACGGCAGCTACGACCCCACTGACTCCTCTGTTTCGGTAAGCCCTTGGCAGCTTTGAGGCCCCTTGTGGCGCCTCAACCTGTTTGGCGCAGAGGGGATGGTGCATGGTGGTGGGGGTGGCAATGGAGAATAGGTTCAAGCTGATTCATGGGGCATATGTCCCCATTGACTTCTCTGTGTTGGTGAGCTGCTGAGGGGTTAATGGTTCAGGGTTCAGGGGTGGTGTGGGCGGCAATGGGAGATAAATTCACCTTGATTCACGGGGCATACGACCCCACCGAGCTCTTTGTCTCGGTAGGTTTGGATCTCCATCCGGATTAACCCTCTGTATGTGAGGGCTTCAGTGGGTGGTGTCTGGGGTGGTGCATGGTGGTGCATGGTGGTGCATGGTGGTGCATGGTGGTGCATGGTGGTGCATGGTGGTGCATGGTGGTGCATGGTGGTGCATGGTGGTGCATGGTGGTGCATGGTGGTGCAGGCATTGACTGATTTCCGAGGCATATGGCCCTGCTGACTCCTCGGTCTCGGTAAATTCAGGGGCATATGACTCCACCGACTTGTTGGTCTTGGGAAGCTGCAGAGGGGTTAGGGATTCAGGGTTCAGGGGTGGGGCGATCATGGGGACTATGATCCCACTGACTCCTCTGTATTGGTAAGCTGCGGAGGGGTTGAGGGTTGAGGGTTCAGGGTTCATGGGAGGTGCGACGAAGGTTTCGTTGCATTCCCTCCCCTCTTTCCCCTTGCCTCTCGTCTCCCCCCTTCGTGTCAAGTCGCCAGGGGAGTACACCCACCCACCCTGGGTTGCATGCATCTTCCCTCTTGAACCCTTTATCTTGTCACCCTCCCTCCGACCCTCCCCCTCCGACCCTCCCTCTGACCCTCCCCCTCCGACCCTCCCTCTGACCCTCCCCCTCCAACCCTCCCTCTGACCCTGCTCTCTCCTTCCGTTCCCCCCCTTGCAGCCCGGAGTGCAGGAGTTCTGCGTGGAGTCCCCAGGGGAATACACCCTCGTCATGTCACATGCATGTGCCTACTACGGGGCCCTCTCCCTCGCCTTCCACACCAACCAGCCGAAGGTACTCCCTTCCCCAGGTAATACCGTTGTCATACAACCTCAGGTACACACAACCTCCCTGTCATGCTGTCACATGCTTGTGCCTACTATGGGGCGCTCGCTCTCCCCTTCCACACCCACCAACCAAAGGTATGCACTGCCTCGGGTATTACCCATGAACCCACTCAATTCCCCTCGTCGTGTTATCGCTTGCTTGTGCCTACTACGGGGCCCTCTCCCTCTCCTTCCACACGAACCAGCTAAAGGTACTCCCTTCCCCAGGTAATACCGTTCTCATACAACCCCAGGTACACACAACACCCCTGTCATGCTGTCACATGCCTGTGACTACTATGGGGCGCCCTCCCTCTCCTTCCACACACCCATCAACTGAAGGTACACGCATGCACGCATCAACCGAAGGTATGCACTGCATCTGGTATTACCCGTGTGCCCTGTCAAGTCCCCTCGTCATGTTGTCGCATGCCGCCAGTCCCTACTATGGTCCGCTCTCCCTCTCCTTCTGCACCCACCAACAAAAGGTATACTCTGCCTCGGGTATTACCCGTGTACCCACTCAATTCCCCTTGTCACGTTATCGCATGCCTGTCCCTACTATGGCCGCCCTCCCTCTCCTTCTGCACCCACCAACAAAAGGTATACTCTGCTAGTTTTTCCACTCAGTTTCCATCATCATGTCGCATGCTTGTGCCCACTATGGGCCCTCTCCCTCTCCTTCCACCCCTTCCAACCGAAGGTATACACTGCCCCAGAAGCTCCCTTCCCCAAGTATAACCCGTGTGCCTACACATCCCCCCCTTCTACTGTTCCCCTCCTGGCATGTCGCATGCTTGTGCCGTTTTGAGACGTCTCAACACCCTGCACAATCCTGCTGACTCCTGTTCCCTACAGAGTATCTGGCCCAGTCTTCCTCAACACCATGGTTGTGCAGGGTGCTTTTTAGAATTCTCAACAACACCCTGCACAATCCTGCTGAATCCTGTTTCCTACAGAGTATCTGGCCCAGTCTTCCTCAACGCCTCCCTCCTCCTTCCTCCCTCTTCCCGTGTTGCCATTTCCCTGCCCCTTCTGCTGCAGCCCATACTGCTGACTCCCACAGCGTATCGTGTATCGGGCCTAGTCTTCCTCAACACCTCCCTCCTCTCCCCCTCTCTCTCCCTCCTCTCGCTGGAAGCAACCACCTCTGCTCGAAGCTATCCTGACAGCAGTAGCAGCAGCAGCAGCAGTGTTACCAGCAGCAGCATCGAAAGCCAGAGCATGGCCGATGGCTCTCTCGGTTCAGTGGGGTCCGAGGGGGGTGGCTCTCTGGTGCTGCGTCGGCCTCCTTCCAAGGAAGATCCCGTTGCGGTGTATGAGCAGGTGAGCAGCAGAAGAATAGAAACCCGCCTTTTGAGACGCCTCAAAAAGAGATTCGGCCGCCTCACATGTCAGCAGCTCTCCGGATGTACTGGGGCTACATGGTGGCACTCTGGTGCTGCATTGGCCTGCTTCTTCCAAGGAAGATATTTTTGAGGCGCCTCAAAATTAGTCAGCAGCTGTCGAGATGTACTGGGGCTAGGTGGTGGGACTCTGGTGTTGCGTCAGTCTGCTACAAAGGAGGATCTGGTGGCTGTGTACGAGCAGGTGAGCTTTTAGAGAAACCCGCCTTTGAGGCGCTTCAGAAAGTGATTTAGGCGTCTCGAACTCAGCAGCTCTCTGGGTTCACTGGGGTTAGGTGCTGGCACTCTGGTGCTGCGTCGGCCCGCGTCGAAGGAGCATCCTGTGGCTGTGTGCGAGCAGGTGAGCTCTTGGTGAAACCTACCGTTGAGGCGCCTCAGAAAGGGATTCAAGCGCCTCAAACCTCAGCAGCTCTCTGGGTTCATTGGGGCTAGGTGCCGGCACTCTGATGCTGAGTTGCTCATGGTTTGAGGCGCCTCCAAACTTCCCTGTGCGTGTCATCCCCCCTCATCACCCCCTAACTAATCTGGCTCCCTGGCACAAATCTCCGGCCCTGCTTACCGCTTCTCTCTCTAAACCTCCTCCAAATCCTCCCCACCCTTTCAACCACACACCACCATTGCAGTCATGCTGGCTTGATCCCAGCACGGACCTCCTCCTCTCCCGACACCACGCCGATGTCCCATCTGTCACCCACTCCTTTCGTTTCCCCCTCCCGTTGCACCCACACACCACCGTCGCAGTCATACTGGGTTGACCCCAACACGGACCTCCTCCTCTCCCTGCACCACTCGGTCCCCCGCTCTAACTCTCACTCCCTTCGCTTCCCCTCCCCATGGCACCCCCACACCATCATCGCAGTCATACTGGCTTGATTTCATCCCAACAGGGGCCTCCTCCTCTCCCTCCACCACTCCGCCTTCCCCTCTATCTCACATCCCTATCATCCTTCCCGCTCGTTCTTCCCTCTCGTTCTTCCCTCTCGTTCTTCCTTCACTTTCTTCCCTCCTGCTCCACCCCACACCATCATGGCAGTCGTTCTGGCTTGAGCCCAACACGGACCTCCTCCTCTCCCTGCACCACTCTGGCTTCCCTGCAACATGTCCTCTTCCCGCTGGCGCTGCTGCTGGTGGGGTGAAGAATGCGGGTGACGAGGGAATGGCAGGCTCAGGGGAGGTAGATCTAGGGGAGGTAGACCCAGGGGAGATCAATCTAGGAGAGGGGTGGGAGCAGCAAGAGCAGGGGAAGCAAGAGGAGCGCAATATGAAGCTGGAAGCAAGGGATTCGTCCATAGAGTAAGTATTGATCTTCTGCCTCTCTTTTTATCATTACGACTGTCCCTTTGCCTCCCTCACTGTACCTCCACCCTCGAACCGTATCCACTGTTGCTCGAACCGCATCCACTGTTGTTCGAACCGCATCCACTGTTGCTTGAACCGCATCCACCATTGCTCGAACCGTATCCACTGTTGCTCGAACCACATCCAGTGTTGCTCGAACCGCATCCACTGTTGCTCGAACCGCATCCACTGTTGCTCGAACCGCATCCATTGTTGCTCGAACCGCATCCACTGTTGCCCGAACCGCATCCACTGTTTCTCGAACCGCATCCACTGTTGCTCGAACCGCATCCATTGTTGCTCGAACCGCATCCACTGTTGCTAGAACCGCATCCACTGTTTCTCGAACCGCATCCACTGTTGCTCGAACCGCATCCACTGTTGCTCGAACCGCATCCACTGTTTCTCGTCGGTATGCCCCAACTATCGAACCTTCAGCAGCTCTCCTCAGTGTCCCTTTAAAGGGGAACTACCCTCTTCTCTGTCTCCCTCAGTGTCCCTTCAAGGGGCGCCCACCCTCTCGCACCTCTGCCCTCTTTTGAGTCGACTCAAAAGTCAGCTCTGCCCGCCCTCCACCCTCGAACCGTATCCACTGTTTCTCGTCTGTATGCCCACAATCCACATTTATCAAACATCGAACCCTCAGCAGCTCTTCTTAGTATCCTTAAGGAGCTCCCACCCTCCTCATTCTTCTCTCCTCTCCACCTTCTCACTCTCGTGCCTCACCTTGCACCAGCTATCCACTGGGCGAGTCGGAGATCCCGCAGGAGCAGCCTACCCCAGATGGCACCTTCCCCTTCCCACCATTGCCGCGGCTCCTTTTCTACCCACGAGCCATTCCTGTAGGTTCCACCTCATCTCTACCCGCAAAATCATCCCCGTATTTCCTTTTCTATCCCCGAGCCAACTCCCCTTTCCGCTGTTAGAAGGTATGGTTGCACCTACATTCACCTGTTATTCCCCCAGCCCCGCTAATTCTTCCCCCTCATTCTTCCCCCTCATTCTTCCCCTCATTCTTCCCCCTCATTCTTCCCCTCATTCTCCCCCCTCATTCTTCCCCCTCATTCTCCCCCTCATTCTTCCCCCTCATTCTTCCCCTCATTCTTCCCCCCATTCCTCCCCCTTTTTCTCCCCCTCATTCTCCCCCTCATTCTTCCCCTCATTCTTCCCCCTCATTCTTCCCCCTCATCCTTCCCCTCATTCTTCCCCTCATTCTCCCCCCTCATTCTCCCCTCATTCTCCCCCTCATTCTTCCCCTCATTCTTCCCCCCATTCCTCCCCCTTTTTCTCCCCCTCATTCTCCCCCTCATTCTTCCCCTCATTCTTCCCCCTCATTCCTCCCCCTTTTTCTCCCCCCTCATTCTCCCCCTCATTCTTCCCCCTCATTCTTCCCCCTCATTCTTCCCCCTCATTCTCCCCCCTCATTCTCCCCCCTCATTCTTCCCCCTCATTCTTCCCCCTCATTCTTCCCCCTCATTCTTCCCCCTCATTCTTCCCCCTCATTCTCCCCCCTCATTCTCCCCCCTCATTCTCCCCCCTCATTCTTCCCCCTCATTCTCCCCCCTCATCCTACCACTGTCTGAAGCCTTAGCCCTTTCTGCCTTCCCCGGTATGCCTACCCCTCGTTCCCCTCCGTCTTCCTCCCTTCAACCCCTGACTGAAGGTATGGCTCGTCAATCAGCTCTCTCCTCCTCATCCCCTTTTCCCCCTTCCCTTCCCCTCCACCTCCCCATCTTTCCCCTCGAACCTCTTAGAACCAGATCACATGATTTTAGTCAGGCTCCCTCCCTCCACCCCACTCCTTCCCTCCCTCCCCCCCCTTCCCTCCATCCGCCCCCCTCCCTGTGTTTAACTGGACCAGACTTGTTTGACAGTCTGACTCAACCCCTCGTCCATTCTTTCCCTTCTCCATTTTCATGTCCCCCCTTCTCCCCCTATCACCAGGTAATAGTTATCACCTTTAAGCGCCCTCCGCCCCTCTCCCTTGTATTGGCTCGCCCAGGAATTTTGGACACAGCCCGAATCAATCCCGCTTCCCTTCCCTTCCCTTAGTCCCCTTCCCCCTATTCCCGCCCCCCCTTCTCCCCTTATCACCAGGTGATAGTAGTCACCTTCAAGCGCCCTCCGCCCCTCCCCCCTTCGTTTGCCCGGCCAGGCATTCTTGTCAAAAATGCTCCAATCACTCCCGCTTATTGCCACCCCCGCCCAATCTCAACGAATCTTAGTCCCCCTTCTCCCCCCTCACGAACCCCCACTGGGCCCGGAGGGGAGTCGAGCCCTTCAAGTGCCCTCCGCCTCTCCCCCCTGTGCGGGCACGCCCGGGCATTTTTCTCGCAGCCCAACTGAATCTCAGCTCTGGCTTCCCCCGCTCTCCCCGTCTCTCTTCCCCTCACCACAACCCCTTGTAAACCCTTCATCGGGTGAGAGTCGGGCCCTTTGAGTGCCCTCCGGCCCCTTTCCCCAGTTTGGTCCCAGCCAGGCAAATTGCTCCTTGCTCCCCCACTCTCCCCATCTCTCTTCCCCTCACCACCACCCCTTGCAATTCCTTCATCAGGTGAGTGTCAAGCCCTTCAGGTGCCCTCCGGCCCTCCCCAGTGTGAAATCAACTGGGCGCTCCTCACGAACTGACTCAATCCTGCTTCCCCCTTCCCCCTTCGTGTTCCCCTCCCCCTTCCCCCTTCGTGTTCCCCTCCCCCTCCCCCCTTCGTGTCCCCCTCCCCCCTTTCCCTTCTCATCGCCAGGTGAGAATCGACCCCTTCAAGTGCCCCATGCCCCTCCCCTCTGTGTGGGCCCGGCCAGGCATTTTCCTCACAGCCCGGATCACTCCCGCGCTGCCAGCTGTCAATGTGTCAGTGGTCGCTGACTCAGCCAGTGACGCTAGGGGGTGGGAGGCAGGGGAGGTGGTGGGATGGAGGCTGACTGTGGGGGGGAGGGGAGGAGGGGAGGAGAGGAGGGGGGCGGAGGGGAAAGAAGGAGAGGAGGAGAGAGTGGAAGAGGAGGGGTTGGATAAGGAGAGTAATGGAGAGGGGGTTGTTCTGGGTCCTCTGTACGACGATGCGAGATACCACCTGGAGTTACATAAGGTACAGTTTGCGGCGTTACACTTCGATCGCAGTTATCTATATTTGGAGTCGTAGGAAGAAAAGCAGGTTCCTTGCAGCAAGTTGAACTTGTAAAGCTGTGGGCGCTTCGTCCATTTTCTATGTGGTTTCTCTTTTCTATTCCTTTTTTTTTCCTTTTGTTTCTTGTGTAAACACCATCCTGTGTGACTGTTGGCATTGTGACAGTACGAAAGCGTACATTTTCGTTGTGTCGATTCGTCCATTTTTTATGTGGTTTCTTCTTCATTTTGTTTTTCCCCTTTTCTGTAACGTGTGACAAATACAGGAAGGGTATATTTTCTTGTCTACAGGAGCCAATTCCTTCACAGCAGAAAGGGTTGAAGCCACACAAGTGAGTGTAATTCGTAACATGTTTCGTCTCTATTTGATGTGATCTTACAGCATCCTTCCTCCTGCAACACTTGGTAAGGGCGTGTTCTTACACCTCTTATGAGCGGGGTCTGATAAGAGGTCGTAGAAACACGCTCTAAACCTGCATGGAGGGTATTCCTATGACCCCTTACCAGAAAGGGATGGACTCTGAGTGCGGCCCATGGTGTCTTCACCCCACGATTCGTAACTGAATATTGTTACCCTATCTTCTGTCGGACGTCTCTCTATCTCCATGGCAGAGACGTGCAAGCATGGCAGCAGCAGCAGTGGTGCCGGTTTCTGAGTCGACTCGAAAATTGCCACCCCGTTTTTGTCCCCTTACCTTCTGTCCCTCATCTCTCTGTCACTGTGGCAGAAGACATGTCAGCCTGGCAGCAGCAGCAGCGGGACTGGGGAGCAGCGGGACCAACTTTTGAGTCACTCAAACAGTCAACTCTCTGCCCCATATCTGTCCCCTTACCATCTGTTCCATCATTGCCCGACATTTCTCTTTCTCTCTCTGGCAGAAGACGTGCCAGCCTGGCAGCAGCAGCAGCAGCAGCAGCAGGACTGGGGAGCAGCACGCATGCAAGTGGGAGTCTTGACTTGAGGTCACCAGCTGTAGCCATTTCACCTGGCTTTTAGGCATTGCTGCTCACTGCTCACACCTAAAAAGGCCGGTTTTCAGCTCTCGGGCTCTCAGCTCTCGGGCTCTCAGCTCCCAGCTCAAGATAACATCCTTACGATACGACTCACTTCTGGCCAGGCGCATTGTGGCATCTTCAGCTCATGCGTTTAGGAGGTGCACGCTTGCTCCATCCGTGTATAGAGAATCGGGTCAGGCTGGTTAAAGAAGGCTCCTCTCCTGTGGGAGCAGTGGGAGCTAGTATTGCATCAAAGTTCAAGGGGTATGGGATGGGATGGGATGGTGCAGCATCAAAGTGATGTACGCACCGTGATGTACCGCTGCCAAATTATATATTTATATATATTTGTATAGGCTTGGTAGTTGTGCTACATTGCTGGATCCTACTGTAGAGGGGACAACCCCCCCTTCTTGTATCTCCTCTCTCCTAGTCACTCTCTCTTCTCTCGTAACCTTTCTCCTAGCACCTAAACTCTCACGCCATTTCCATGGCTCCTCTCCTTACCTAGCTTGTTTAACATGGTATCAGAGCAGGCCCTTCCGCCCGAACCTTCTTCTCACGCTTCCGCAGCGTATTCTCCCCCCTCCTGTCACTTCCGCGCCGCCGTGGCAGCCATGTCGTGCTGCCATGGCGGCTCCGTCGTGCTGCCGTGGCAGCCTCGACGCGCTGCCGTGGCGTCGACGCCACGCCGTGGCAGCGTCGCCGTGCTGCCGTGGTAGTGTCGACGTGCTGCTGTGGCATCGACGCAACGCCGTGGCAGCGTCGATGTTCTGCCGTGGTGGCGTCGACGCGCTAGCGCACGAGCGGCAGTGGGCGGCGCACCGCTTTAGGCGCCAGCCAGCTCGCTCGCACGCCAGGCAGCGCCGCGCCAACCATGGCGCCTCGCTGCAGATTCGCCCCCCGCCTCCCCTGCATCTCCCCCTTGCAAATGGTTATTTGGACTGGCGGTAGCGAGCAAGGCACTTGGGAGTAGTTGGCGGCTGGTGCCAACGGATCGGGCCTAGGACTTTGCTCAGGAAGAATGACTTCATTGGAAATTGAGTCGGCTACTTCCTTTCTTACAGGTTCATGATCTCTAGGCGCGGCATCGGCTCTAATCAGGATGCGGGTGAGGCTAGACCATGTCGAGAGGAGCAAGTCGAGCCTCGTGCACAGGTCTGCACGAGGAATGCTACCATCATCGCCTTCCGGATCACCGCCGCTAGGTGCTGCCATCGCGAGATGGCAGCGGTAAGAGAATTAGTCACAACCGTGGAGGAGAAACGGAATGACGGGGGGTGGAAGCACTCGACTTGAACGAGGCAGAAGGTGTGGCAGCACAGCTAGTGCATCGATTGAAGAGATAGATGAAGATGATGGGGTCTCTTGAGATTTGTGGAGGGCACGCGTCTTGCAACAGAGTTCTGCATGCATGGATTTGGTTCACGAAGCGGGGGGGTAGCGGTCTACTGCCGTGCTGGTGGGCCAGCTGTCTAACATTAGACCTGGTCTATTGGCTGCCGTGGCTGTAATTTGGTGATGAGCCAATCCAAACCCTGCAGCTATGCGGTGCTGGAGACAGCAGTGGCTAGCTACTTTCGAACAGCCAATGAGTACCCGGCGAGCACTATGTGCTGGATGAAGCATGGCATAATATTCTCCAGCGGGGCTGAAATCTGGTCGGTCACACTCAAGACGGCGTGATTGATGGGGAGGGTGGGGGGGGATTCGCGGAAATCACGGGGTGGGGGGGTTGGGGTCAGGAATCCACTATTACAAGAATCAGGGTCAGGCTCCGATACGACGCTGGAAAAACAGGCCACACTACACTAGGCACGCTGATCGATCAGAGTTCACTCTTAAAAAAAACATGTCTCATCAGGGTCATCCCCCAAAAAAGCCTTGAGTTTACCCTGAATCAAGGTAAAAAACCTGTATGCAGGTATAGAAATAGCAAGTACAAGCCGGTATAGTAGATATCAGGATACAAGGAGTGGCGCTGCTACCGAGACTAGACCAAGCTGAGTACAGAACCGCTGATGGTCACGAGGCGGTAGTGCCTTGGCGAAGATATCAGCGGTGTTGGCCTCTGTGGCCACGTGTACTACTTGAGCCTGGTCACGATGCTGCAACTCACGCATTAGGAAGTACTGCGGCTGGATGTGCTTCGCCCTGCCACAGGAGGATCATGGCCGTGTTGTCAGCAAACAGGATGGGGGCAGACCTAGGTTGCTCACCTAGGTCAAGAACGTTAGCCAGCGGAGCTCCTGAGCAGTCATGGCCCCAGCATAGATCTCTACCTCACAATTGGACTGAGCTACAGATGACGTCCTGGTGGACCTCCACGAGACTACAACCGCACCAAGACTAAAAGAGTAGCCATGAGACGGCCTGAGCGTCTCCACGTCGTCAACCCATGACGCGTCTGTGTGTCCAGTAAGCACCACCAGCTCCCGTCCTCCTAGCACAAGCCCCAGTCCTGCTGTACTCGCCAGATACCGCAATACCCTCTTGGCAGCCGACCAGTGGACTGGTCGGTGTCTGCTTGTCACAACAAAAAAAGCCTGGAGTGTAAGAGGGTAGGCTATATATGGTTGAGTGCAAGTCATCACGTACATGAGGCACCCCACCAGCTCTGCATATTGACCACAGGCCTCAACCAGCTCAGCTGGAACTAGAGCAGAGAGCTTGTGATCCACAGACAGAGGGGTGGGCTGTGCTGAGGAGAACTGGAGACTGAACTTCTGGAGGATTTGCTGCACAATATGAGATTGGGAGAGTGTAATTATATGAGTGGCACGGCCACGAGAGATCTCCAAGCCGAGATAGCGCCTCACCTCCCCCAAGTCTATACAGGTGTGTCTGTAAAGTAACTCAACCTTAACTGAGGCCTGACAGAGTCGCAAAGATAACATCATCTACGTACACTAAGATGCCGAACGTTCTCGGACCCGTGCGAACAAAGAGAGACGGGTCAGCAGAGGACGGAAGACTTGCAGCTCAGCAATAGTGGTGCGAAGCGTGTCGTGCCACTCACGGGGTGCCTAACGAAGGCCATAGATAGGACGACATAGGCTCCACTCGGTCCCAGGTGGGAAGGACCCAAAGAAGCCTAAAGGGCGCCGGAGGTAGATCTGCTTGTGCAGACTACTTTGCAGGAACGCTGTGGAGAAGTCGAGTGAGTGAAGCTCGTAGTCACGCTGCGCGACTGTATGGAGAAGCACCCAAAGAGAACTCATAATCGGGGTCGGGGAGAAGGTCTGGAAGAAGTCCACACCTTCACGTTGACTGAAGCCGCTAGCCACGTAATGCGCCTTAAACTTCGGCGGCTCTCCATGTGCGTGCTTCACCTTGTAGATCCACATGCCATCGATTACGTTCGCCCCAGGTGGGGGAACTGCGTCGACGTAAGTGCCTGTGGATCTGTAGGATGCCATATGAGCCTCCATGGTCTGTATACACTGGGCTGCCCAGGGCTTCGGCACTGCCTCAGCGTAAGAGCGAGGAACAGGGATGTCGAGAGCATCTGGGTCGCCCTCTGGGGATACAAGCATCGAGCAAAGATGGGGAACAGCGGCAGCAAGGTAGGCCAACTTGTACTGCCTGCCCTCTAGCACGTCAATACCAAGGGCAGGTGCACCCTCGACGGACGGAGGACAGGCAGTACCAGAGACCATAGCAGCAGCGTAGTCAAGGCGATGGCTAGCAGCAAAGTCAGCGACAGCAGTGACAAGCGTAGAGACGGTCTCAGAAGGAGCAGTAGGGTCAGTGACAAGTGACGCAAGCAAGCGCGAGAGGGTAGGACGAGCAGTGCAAGCAGCGTCAGAGAGAGGAGGGGGGGACTGCGGAAGCGATGACAGAGGAGGTAACGGACACACGGAGACTGGAGAAGCATGAGAATGGAGGACCATCGGGTGGACACTACGACGGAGAGAGGCAAGACAAGCACCCGAGGGGCGACAGACCCAGTGGGGAAGAAATGGGGACTGAGGACGAGGGGGAACGGGGGACAAGTTAGGAGACACAGGAGTGCGCGGGGGAAAACGAGCTGGAGAGAAGTCCGGAGGAGGGAACAGGGGGCCGTAAATAGGGGTACGCACCGGAGGGTGAACTGGCGGGCGGACAGGGTAACCTGAAGAAAGACCAAGGAGACGAAGGGCATATTGCAGCTGCTCCTGTTACGGCAGCAGCGCCGACTGCTGCTGCGGCTGCTGTGGCCCCCTGTCCTTGCCAGGACCCCCAACTATACCTCGGCTACCACTGGTACTCCCCAAGACAGCACCCCCAGGACTTGCACCCTCAGACGCACCACCCAAAGAACCAGCACCTCCAGAGTTAGCACCCCCAGAACTCGCACCCCCAGAACCAGCACTCCCAACACCAACACCAACAACACCGGCAACCCCAGGGCACACTGCTCCCTGCTGCTGTGGCTGCCAAGGTTGCTGCTGCGGAGGCAAGGGGGGGTGGGGGGGGTGGGGGGGAGGGGGGGGGGGAGAGGGGGCTCAGATGCCTGAGGTACTGAGGCTGGTGGAGGCGCCATAGGGACAACAAGCACGCTTCTAGGAGCTGGGCCCCCAAAGTCAGCCGACTCCCTCACGGGCCCAACTGAGGGGAACTTAGTGGCGTGGGAGACACCAGACTGGGCTTGATGGGGAGGGAGGGGTGTCGGAGGTGGGACAGGGACAAAGAAGAGAGGTTGAGGAGGGACAGAAGCATCTCGTTGAAGGTAACTTCACGAGAGCGGTGGAAGCGGTGGTATGCCGGGTGGTAGAACAGCTAGTCAGGGGCGTCAAGCGGAAACCCCAGGATGACACAAGGAAGGGTGCGGGCTGAGAGCTTGTCTGCGCAAGTGTCACGGACGTGAGCAAGGCTGCCCCAGACGTGGAATGTAGACGCGTCACCAAGAGACCCAATCCAGAGGAGGGTCGGCAAAACCTATAGCCACTGGGAGCGCAGTCACAAGATAACCTGGTGAGCAGCATAGCACACGACGAACGGCCATAGACAATGGGGTGCACCAGTGTGGACCATGGAGGTGCGAGCTACCTCCATGATCAGGCTGATGCATCACTCAGCGACCCCATTCTGCTGTGGGGAGTCTCGTAGTGTGTGTGTCTTGCGGATGCCCTTCGCACAACAAAACTGTCCTAGAGTGCCAGAGGCGAACTCGCCGCCACGATCAGAGTGTAAGCGACCCACAGGCAGACGGTGATGGGTGCGAACAGTAAGAAGTCACGGGAGGAGGAAACAAGGAGTGAGGGGCGGCGCGCTGCCAGCCCTTGACGCAGAACGTGCATAGTGACGCTAACGATGTAGGCAGCGCAAGGAGTGACGCAGGGAGGCCAGTGACTAGACCGTGCTGGGACATGTGCCTAAGATGCGGGAGTGCAGGGTGACCTAAGCGGTGGTGCCACAGAAGGGTCGGGTGGGCTAGTGAGCGACAGGAGCAGGACGCGGTGACCTCAG